CGGGGAAGACCCAGGACACGCTGGAGGGACTATGTCTCTCAGCTGGCCTGGGAACGCCTCGGCATTCCCCCGGAGGAGCTGGAGGAAGTGTCTGGAGAGAGGGAAGTCTGGGCATCTTTGCTTAGACTGCTGCCCCCGCGACCCGGTCCCGGATAAGCGTAGGAAAATGGATGGAATGGATGGATGGATCCAAGTGACTGACACCTGCATGAACTGAAGCTTATGGAGCTAAACGTGTTACTGCACGAACTGCTTTGCTGTGACAACATAGAGAAGTGCTGAGGATACAGCTTTGAACATTATTTGTCAAGTGACAACAAAACAGTGCTGGAAGTGGTTATTTTGCCATGAGGAAATATAGAAATTTTTTTTTTTTTTCCCCCTTTTGTCTTAGATGCTTGGTCAGCATACCGTGACACATAGCCAAATCTGTCTTTTAAATGGTTCATCATACTTAATCATTACTAAAGTTCAGGCCTGCCAATATTAATATTAAATTATTTAATCCAATCATCTGGCTTCTAAAGGACAAAAAAAACACAAGGTTTTTCCTGGCAGTATCACTTGATCGAAGGCCACATTACTGTCTAAATCGATAGGTTTAGAGTGTATTTATTTGACCTGAGAGTGGGGCATCACAAGACAGATGAATACATTACAAATTTTGTAAGGGTGGAAGAAACCATCTCAGAATTTGCAAGAAAAAATACATAGATGGGGGTTGAATAGGCTCAAATCATATTTTGAATTAGTTAAGTACTAGAATCTCAACCTTTTCAATGCACACAACATAAACTGTCCTTAATATGAGCAACAATTATAAACTATCCAAATTCTGACATGGTGGAACTGTTAAAATAAGTTTCAAAGAGGTAAAATGAATTTAGTAAATAAAGGATATGAGTATATTTAAAGATGGAATGGATGACCAAAGTTATTCCGATTCCATCTTGTGTGCGTGTGATGTCAGCATCCACAGATGCACATTTTATGTCTTCATGATTTATTTAAGGTCTTAATGTCTGACTGCAATGTTAGAGACTCTAGGTTTGGCCACATGACAGCTTCATGTTTGAGTGTTTTTTTCCTTGCCTATATCTGTCTAGATATCAAAAGATTTGTTATTACATGTACTGTATGTGGTAGATTTAAAGTGTGTACTGTTAAAGCCCCCCGTGGTCCTGCCCGGGTGAGCCAGATTCATTATAACATCAGGTCAGGCCTACCCTCCTCAGACCAGTTTACTAATAACAGGAATCATGGCCAGTGCTGCTGAGGCTAATGAGCAGCTGTCCTGAGACCGAGACAGTCCGATTCCAGCACGAAGAGTGTCGTTAACATGCAGAAGCATCTGAGGCTCAGCCATGTGCTTGTTGTGCTGTAAGTGAAATGGAATGCCACAAGTTAAAAGCACTCCAGGGAAGTGTGTGTGTGTGTGTGTGCGTACACACTCTTGATCATGTTAGTTTGACTCTCATCAGCAGAGAGATCAATATATTAATTAAGCACAGTTTATGCTTTTATGACACCAAGATGCACTTTCAACCCCAGATTTAACTGTTTTGCAGCACAGCAGACTCCTTCATGGCCCTGGTGAGTGAAGTCAACTTGTGATAACAGTCAGCACAGCTGTAATATCATTATTGTTATTGTAGCTGATTGCAGAAGCTCAGGGCTGAATCAACTCAGTGGCAGGATTGAAGTGCAAGTCTGATTATTCACAGCTAACACAGCCTGTATTAGGAATGAAAGGGGTGTTTGTTTTTTCCAAATATATCCTGGTGTTGTACGGCTCCTCTTCACAGAAAGTGGGTAGTGGGTCTGGAACAGGCACCAGGGTAGAAACTGACCTTTTGTAAAAGTTTTAGATAAAGCATGATGCAAATACACTTTGACTTTTAGAGAGCTGTAGGGAAGGCGGGAAGGCCCTGTTTGACGTGACTGCAGCACAGAGTTGCTGTTTCAGCTTCAGTTGCCAAGTTGACTATTAAACCTTTGCAAAGCACTGTACATTTTTTTAAACAGAAGGTTTTTGCTAAAATATCACTGTTACATTACATTCTTGATACACTTGTTGGGCTTTGCCTGGCTTTTTTTTTTCTTGGCTTTTTAGGGTCACAGTAATTTAAAGTGATATTTGGTTCACAGAGCCATTTTCAATTTAATTTTCCTTTGTGTTTTTTTTTTTGTTGTTGTTGTTTTTCCTTGTTATATTGATGAAAGCACCTAGCAGTCACAGTTGTCATTGGAAACAAGGCTGGGCTTTGTATCAAAAGCATGATGCTTTTTCAAGTCGGCATGTGTTTTCTATCAAAGTGCCAGACATTTAACTTTTGTTCCATAAATTGTCCAGTGTGGTCTTTGTGATCCCAGGTTATTTGTATCTATGTTATTTGCTTCAGTGTTAATGCTTTTGTTTTTGTTTGTTTTACTTTCTTACAGGATACTTTGTAGTCAGTGGGATGTAAAAGCTCTGGAAGCAGGACCAGGACTGACTGCAGGAGCATGGTGAAACACCAACCCCTCCAGGTCTATGAGCGGCAGCTGTGTTTGTCATGTATCACTGGGATCTACGGTTGCCGATGGAAACGCTATCAGCGTTCCCATGATGACACCACCAAGGTGAGAGATGGAATAAAACCCTGCTGTGGCTGAATTGCACCATTTTAAATTTGCTATACATCTATCTGGCTGTCAGTGAGTAAACACACCAGTGACATTGGACTAATCATGCACTAATTACGTGTAAATCTTTCCTGTCTGTGATTTACATTTGTCATATTCTGTAAAGCACAGATACCATTTGCCTTGTGACAAAAACCCCTCTGATGGTTTGATAAGTATATACTCCCCCCTCCTTGCTGTCATTGATTATCTCACAAGCTGCACACACACACACAAATGTGTGTGTGTGTGTGTGTGTGTGTGTGTGTGTGCGTGCGTGCGTGTGTACATGTACTTGCATCAGGTTTGCCCCAGTCTCAGTTTAGTTATGCTTTTTCAGAGTAATTTTTCATAATAACTGCACAGCTGCTCTGGGAGATCAATGTTCAGCTTTTAACAGCATTCCATTTAAGTGTGGATTTGTCTGTGCGCTTGTGTCTATTTAAAAAGATTATATTTATATAACATTCCCCTCAATTGCTGGCTGCTGAAATTAATAGCTTTTATTGTAGCTATTTAGATTGTTCACAATTCTGAATAACAAGATGGCCATGTACTGTAGGATGTGGAAATTTTCCAAAAGTAATCTCCTACTGAATCTACAGTACTATTAAGGAAAAACCATAAATCCCATTTACAACCACAGTGTACAGTTGGTGCTTGGCATCCATAGCACTGTGCTCTTGCACCTCGTGGTTTTCTAGATTCTCCACTCTGATGTTTGTCTGTCAGCAATGATTTACAGAGAACAATTGTCTATGGCCGCGTATGTCCTTGTTGACTTATCCTCCAGTATCGGTATCCTTGAGCTTTCCACACAGAGATTCTATCAACATTACAATACGCCATTGTTTCCAGTTGTCTGTCATCTCCCACGTTCGGCACATTTTTAATTAGTTCCATCAGACTGTGCACTGAATATTACCCATCAAGTATTTTTTGTGTAAATGCAGGGTATACTGTACTGCAAGTATTCCCTACAGGAGTCACGTTGACAAACAGTGATTCATTGTGCCATTCTAATTACACTTTAAGCATTTATATGAATGGTTACATTATTACTTTTGTTGGTTTTCTAATTCTAACAACTACAAATTAATGAGTTTATTTAAATGCTTATTTTAGACTTAATAAATATTAAGTGTGGAACCACAACAGTCTCATGCAACCCCTCAACTAAAGAATGTTGCAGTGTGATTTTTTTCTAGTACAGTACTAGCCACAAGCCCTCGATAAGTAGTGTATCACAGCCTACACAAGGTGAGCCATTTGCCCTGACCTTTCCCCTTATCTCAGCTATTCCGTTTTTAGGAAGGACACACGGGTTATGTTGCTGCAATGAGCTTGCACACAGTACACAGCCATGAGCATGTGAGCACACAGGCACTAGACTCTGTGAGTTCGTTATGCCCACATACCGTACTGTAGATGAGCAGAATCCTAGGATACGGAGAATAGACTCAAGTCACACGGATCCCCAGGCAAAATGTATAGTCGTCATTACTCCTATGTTGTGTGTGTGTGTGTGTGTGTGTGTGTGTAAGCAAACAGGCATAAATAGCACAGGTAGCTAGGGGTGGTTATCACTGACAACACTTTTGTGTTGTGTAAAAAGCATAGCAGATCTAAATAGAGGTATTGATATCTTCCCCCTTGCCGGCAGGAAACTGGACACTTGTGTAGCTCTTTCCTTTTGCAAGTGGTCATCTTTCAGGTCAACTGACAGGATAATGCGGAGTCAGCCTTCTTTGTTCATCATGCCCATCCTTTTGTTTTGACCATGTAATGTTGGACAGCACTTGTCTTGACCCCAGTGTAAGGAAGTGCACAGTGAACCACATGCACTCTGCAGGCTTCTGTCTGTTTCTGTTCACTTGATTCAGGATATTTGTTCCCTCCTTTCTTTTAGCCTCCTTTATTAGTGGAGAGAACTGAAGGCAAATTGAGCCAAAATGATGCTGTCTAAAATAATTAGAATTACTATGAGGATAGCTTTGTCTTGGTGCCATCAATAATTATGGAGACTTGAGTGAATATACAGTAGCTGAGTCATTTCCATTGAGAATGCTACCTAGCGTACCCCAAGATGATGTCATGATGGATTGCATCTTTAATGATCCCAGTAAACAAACTTTGACCAGTCAATGACTGGTATCAGCTGCATGTAACTGGAGCTGAGCGAATCACAGAAGCGTGAGAACCAAGAATCTCATGTTGAAACAACTGTAGCCTCATTCATAATCCAGGAGTGGCTCGTGCTATTTTGCTCCTTTTTTGTCTTTGTTCACT